TTTTCTTTATCCATTTTCTTTCTTTCCTTCTATTGATTCTCTATTCCGTTCTTACATGTCTTTTTTCTTCTGTTTCCTTCTTCCAGTTATTTTGTTCTTCTTTTTCCCCACCTTGATCCGTTCCCTTAACTTCAGAGCGCCCGATCTCGACTCAAAACTGACCCGCAATCGTGAGCCGTGACAAGGTAAACACTCAGATCAGATCAGAGGATGATGGGACCTGGCTGCAGATTACCGCCAAGAGATTGTACAAAACATGAGGTCACTTCATTGGGTTTTTTTTTTAGGTTTATCTACATTTCACCTCCACCCACACCATTAACACCAGTATCCGTTTTATTTTGCGAGATTTTTTAGTGTCGGCAGGTTGAAGGGAAATAAAAGTTAGCCACGTAGCAAGCAAAAACAGTAGAGTCAAGACAAGACACAAGTCGGCATTTTTCCTACTTAGGTAAGTGTAGATGAGGATAATTTCGGTCCCAGATCCAGCCACGCCATTGCCACTACCACCACCACCACCACCACCATACCTCAAGGGTCGTGAGCACTGATCACATGACCCGTTCACTTGCTAATGACGTCAACAGAAGACGGTGATTAAGCGTCATCATGGTTATTTGGACGCTCGTCGAACAAACAAAAGAAAAAGGGAAGGAAAGTGTAGTTCATATTAGGTGCGTGTTAGAGAGAGGAGGAAGCGAAGGGCAAAAAGAAATGAGAGTTGTGAGTTCATTCCTATCTAGTTGTTCTATACTATATATTTTGTATTAAATTTAGGCAACGCTTAGTAAATAAAAATAGAATAGCTTTAATTATCCGAGACTTTAATTTGTTTTGGAATATTCCTTTATTTTTAGTAGTATTTTGTTTTTCTCAGGCTTGCAACCAACGTACCCCCGCACGTGTAATTTCATGCTTTGTTAAATAATTGACTAATGGTAAAACGTTGATGACTATGTCCTTCAGGAAGAAAAAACATAGAAAAAACAAAGCTTTCATTTGAAGAATTTCTTATTGCTCTCTAAAATCAAACATGTCTTTTTAAAGGTATACTGTGAGGAATTTTGATTTTACATTAAGTTTTCCTCGTACTTCAGTTGAATAAAAAAAAAAGTTCACTTACCCTGGCGATTGGAATCTATTTTTTGGATGTTTTCTCTCTCTTCAAGCATCAGGTTTCCCATAGGAAAGACCGTTTGCTTTCTCTGTATTTTTCAAGTCTACAGGACACATCCATACAAGTCTGTAGATGCAGTGAGGGTAACAGAAAATCAAATCATGTACCCGAGTGAATTCACTGGAGAAAGATTCTCAGTTCAAATTTGAATTGAAATGATTCTAATTGTTAATCCTTAATAATGACAACAAAATAGAAATGCCAAGTAATTTGTAGTATTTTTTCTTTCTGTCATAATGAAGACTGAGTTATTGTTCGTGCTTTTGTAAACGCGATTAGAATAGAAATAAATTGTAAATGCAATACTTTCTGCTAATAAACGAAACGTCAGCATGGTTGAAGGATTAAAAGATATTTCTAGCCATTCACACATCATTAGATAGAAAGTCTAATGACATCAGTATTCAAAACTATAATCTCGGTATCAGCGTGGTTTGCCTCATTTTTACACCCCCATGCGTTTACCGTAATATCAGACACACTTTTGCCCTCTTATTTAATCTTTTCATATAGCCCAATTAAAATGTTTTATCGTGAAGAAAAGTTCAGATATGCATTATTTTACATGCATATATATATATATATATATATATATATATATATATATATATATATATATATATATATATATATATATATATATATATATATATATATATATATATATATATATATATATATACTAGCAGTATAATCCGTCTTCGACTGGGTCTTTCATTATTGGCAATTTTACCTTTCAGTTGGAGCAATTTAAGTTTAAAGTCAGCCCACCTGAAAATCAGTATTAGTAACAACAATTGGGTACAACTGAGGCACATCCCCAAATAGGGGGGTAACAATTTGAAAAGGGCCGTTTTTGCGTTCTTAATCTTGTTTCAGCCTCACGCACAGCAGCAGTTGAAGAGGCGTTTCTATTCAGCAGTTGAGTCTTTTGATCATTTTCAGCCTCGCGCGCAGAAGCTTTCTGGTATGCTCTTCTGGAAAGCCAATGACTACGTTGATCTTACGTTGACCTTCCGACTCAGTGGCTCTGATTGAAGCATTCTGAGAGGCATTTTGAGACAGGCAAAATGGACGTTCTAAAGACGATTCGTTATCTCTTATTCACACGGCGAACCTGGTGGCAGCGGTTTTGCAACCTAGGCAAGTTCTTTGGTGGCATGTCTTAGGCAAGTATGAATTGTGAAATGGAATCTGTGGGCAAATACCAGAAGAGAACGCTGTAAAGCTAGAGGTATCACTAAGCTTGAATAACTTTAGGAAAGATTGGAAAAATAAATATTGAGTAATAAAAAAGCAAGATTATGGTGAATGCAATGCAAAAACTGGCAGGACATGTAGGAACGTCTATAAACGACAATTAAAGCAACGCCTTAAAACTGTAGTAGTAGTTTTTTGTTTTGTTTTTTTTTTGTTTTTTGCCACGGAAAAGGTAACCTCACTTGAGAGAGATTTGGAATCTTGCCCAAAAGAAGGGGAATGTGTAATTTAGACTCAAAACCGGCACTGAAGAATTATCTATCAAACAAAAGCATTTCACCGAAATCGGATGAAAACTATGGAAACGCATAAACAACATCTTATCACACATACACACACACGCACATTTTGAGAATTATAGATATAGATAATATTATTGTAATAATTTAAACTATTTATTGTTCATTAATTTTTTTATGAAAGATATATATCCATATAAAACGTTATTGAGAGTTATAATGGGTAGGAAGTAGTAGAGAGCCATTATCGACAACCGGCACTGAAGAATTATCTATCAAACAAAAAAAATCATAGAAATCATAGAAATCGAATGAAAACTATAGAAACCCATAAACAACATCCAATCACACACACACATACATACACACTCACATTTTGAGAATTATATATATATATATATATATATATATATATATATATATATATATATATATATATAAGCGTACTTATTAAAACGAAACTGAACCTGAAGTTTTAAGAAAATTATGAAATCAGAATATTTCCATTTCAACTTTATTTTTTCCCGTCTAAACACTTTAACCATTTTCAAGACAGCATTTATCCTTTCTTATTTGAAAATAATCACTTTTCTTTTACCTTAACGATTTCAGGATTTATGTTAATTAAAGCCTTTCAATTGACGTCTACTCTAGCGCATTGGTTAACAAGTTCAGTTCACATCCCAATTCGCCTAATGTCGTGCGATCAATCCTCTTTGGGTATCTCACTATTAAGCCATACTGCCAAACAGAACTAAGCTTAGTAAATATCAATTCAAACAACCTCGGTTAATAATTGTAGGCATTTTATGCGAAATCAACAGCCATAAAAATACCTTAGTCTAAATCCAAAAATGCATGTATTTCCTTGTTCAACATAAATATTTTCCCTGAAATAATTCACGGTTCTTTTCGAAGACATATTTTTAATGATATTTGATTTTGTTTCTTAATATTAAACTAATAATTAGTTGATGATTATTCAGCATTATTTCCTATTAATCCATTAATTTTTAATACATTTTAAAGATAAGAGAAAAAAATTCAATTCGGGATTTTCACGTTCGCTACTCAAATTGATCCAGATCGGAAAGTGATGTTGCGAGCAGAACCACGCTAGGGAGAAAATTTTAAATCATATCCCGAAGAGGGTTCGAACCTCAATGATATAGATTTGAAATTTATAGTAGAAATGATCTAAAAACGTCAGAAAACTCGCAAAAATTTCAATGTATTGACAATAATTATTTAAAATATTTAGATGCAACTGGCAAAAATAAAAGCTGAGGAAATTGGTTTTATTTTATTGAATGAAAATTAAATCATAATGAACCTAATTAAATCGAACTTAATTATATTGAATGAAATTGCCCTGTTTTTGCTACTTTTTATCCTTGTTCAATATCATGCATTTTATATAATAACCTGTTCTACACAATCGTTGGATGAGGAATAAAGCGTGAAACGGCAACTAAAACTGCGACATTATCTCTGGAAGGTGCATTGAGAGTTTAGTGAAATAGGATTGCTTTAATATATCCTAATTTTTTGAAAGACGAAGATCTAGGATAAAGAATTGTAGAGCAACTTTAAGTCGGGCTTTCAAAGGGTAAACGCCACGACGCCATCTTACAGCATAAGAATATCTTGTTACACTACAACGATGATGTTGCTAAGAGGAATCAATTAAAGCCTTTCTCTGTGCTTATGTATATGACTTGTCTCCTACGTATTATCTTCTTTTTTCGAGCATCTAGAACACTTTATTGTCAGCAAGAACTTCTTATTTTCCAGATGAAACTGAATAAGCCTTCAATGAATTACGAGCTTTTGTTTTTTTTTAATTTCGCTAGAAAGTATGTCATACAAATATAAATACCAAGAGGGCAGATTTTCATTGAAAAAATTTTAGATAGTTTATTTCAGTTTTCTTATTTAAATAAATGTTATAAAACTATATATATATGTGTGTTTATGTGTGTGTCTGTGTGTGTGCGTGCGTGCGTGTGTGTGTCTATGTGAATGTGTGCATGCATGCGTGTGGGGGGGTTATGCTCTAAACTAGTTGACAATGAAAAGAATTTCAAAAATTCATACCTCATTTTTGCGTGTTATTTGCCAGAACAATCATTGCTCTTCTTGTTGGAATTAACAACCTCCGTCATGTTGTCCGTTGTTTTAACCACAGAGCTAACCGTTGTGCAAACGTTTACTTTAATTGTTATCAAGGTTAGAATCAGCAACAGGTGGACAAAGCCGAAGGGTCTGTTGCAATAAGAGAAATAAATCGGCAAACGATGTCGTGTTTCGGGCTGACTATTTACCTGGGCATTTCTTTCTTTTCTTTTGCACCTGGCGTATTGCGTGACGTCGTTTATTACCTACGATGCTTTTCAATCGCTGACGGTGGGCCTTAAAGCGCCGGCATTCTGGGCCAGGGATGTTGGCTATAGACTTGTTGCAACGTTCAAGAAGATGAATTAAATTGTCACCAGCTACGGAGGCGAGGGCTTTCTTCAACGCGAATTTGTATTCGACAAGGGCAAAATGTGGCCATATTTTTTCCTGTCCTACAAAGAAAAACATGTCAAGACGGGATTTTGTCCAGGGTCGAAATTGCACTCTGCATTGGCATGTTAAACAGATTCTGTGTTGCGCTAGTTTCTATTTATTTACTTATTTTTGATTTTTGCGGAATTTACAAAAGGGCCAAGCTTTATTATTAGTCACAGTGCAAGACCTACCCAAGGTTCAGCTGCCGTCTGTTAGTTTAAATTAATGATTGTATGAAATATATCATTCTATTTCGGAAATTTTCATTGCGTTGTTTAAGATGGAATAATTAATAAGATAAATTTAAAAAACGGGAAACAATTTAAGGAAACAGACAAATAATAATGAAAAAATTGTATGAAATACTATATTTACTGATTTATATTTGCAGTAGCATTTTCCTTTACTTTATCGAATCGATTTTAGGAATTATTCAATCGATTCTGTTTCTGTGCACCCAATACTTTATTCTTTACAAATAAAAACTGAAAACTAACAAGTAGAATTTCCTCAGGTTTCCAAATAGACATAAAAGACAGGAATACATCACTGAAAAGAAGATTCTAGATAGGATCGATTCAATCACTGTTGAATTGTGAAAGCAGTTTTTTTTTTTTTTCGAGCCCACAAGAACAAATTGATAGGCATCTTGAAAGCCTGTTTTCTTTTGTGATGTCTGTATGAGTTGACAAATATATGAACTTCCGAGACGCCTATATGAGAATTTTTTTAATCACCCCATGCAATGCAGTAATTCCACTAAGACACAGGGCATTACAAGGTGTGGTAGAATTAGGAACAGAAACATTAATGATGAGCAGAAAGAGAAGAGAGTAATAAAGTGTACAGTAGAAAGCGATTGACATTGCATTTAAATGTTTGCAGATTAAAGTTGAATGGAAAGCATGGAACCGGTAGGGAGTTCCACAAGAGAGAAATGCAAGAAAAAAACTGTTAGCATAGAATTTACGGCTACATTTATCCAGCTCAAATGTAAATTGATGAGATCTCGACGCCAGTCTAGTACTGCACTTAAATTCAAAATCTTTAGGTACCACAGCGAAAAGCTCCTCCGAACAATTAGCATGAAAGTATTTATGGAAAAGACGGAGAGAGGCAACCTCACGGAGGTGGGAAATTTACCGAGCCGCTAAATCAGGACCAGTAATATTGCTGATTCTTCTTTGGATCTTATCAAGGAGCCCAAAGTAAATAGCAGGGGCACCGGACCATATGTGGCAGCAATATCCTAAACATGAACGAATGGTAGACTTATAGATATGTAAGATAGAGTAAATTGTGTCGCCCAACACAGTGATCGACTTTATAAGCTGACTTAGCAATGGATTCAATATAGTCTTTCCACTTCATATCAGCAGAGAACGTGAACCCAAAAAGGCGCAACGAGTCACCTTTCTGGAAGTTAGCATCAGCCATGCTGATGAAAAGCATAGAGGGGTCTCTCTGATGATTAATGGAGAGAAGTTTAGTTTGGGATGCGTTAAAATTAACAAGGCCTCTTTTGCCCCAGTTGACATACATACTTACAGACGCGTTTAATTTTTTTTAATTTGTGTACACTGCAAATTTATTATGTACGACTTATGAGAATTGAGGATCAAATAGAAATGCAGTCTGTGGTCAACATCCTTCTCCTTGCAGTTCACCGACAAACGAGCATAAAATAAACAGTGCTACACCGCATGAGCTGTTTTCACATTTCTATCGTTTAAAATAAAAAAGGAGGAAATTTCTTGACTCCTGGCCTCGAAAGAAAAACGCTTGAATTTTTCAACAGAAAAGGCGGACAACAATAAAAGGCGGTCAGTAGCTTATCCATCTTCAAAGTAGGATAATGGAGGAAAAAATGATGGCCGGCCATAATTTAATTATGTAAATTAAGGGTTGTGTGATCCTCTTTGATGATCACTGCTACCTCTACGTCCATCCTTTCTTAAAGGGTAGTGGTCTCAGAGCAAAAAACGAGTGTGAAGTATATATATATATATATATATATATATATATATATATATATATATATATATATATATATATATATATATATACGATGCGTGCATATTAATTATATCTTGCTTAGTGTGTGTGTTGAGTTAAACAATGAAAGATTAAAAATACAACGAATAAATACGCGTGATTAAGAAAAATACGTTTAATTCGTCTCTTTATCTAAATATTTTTTATTTACCTCCCTGAGGTACGCTAATATATTTCTCCTTCTGCTCCTATGTGTCAGCTTTTAAAAAAATCGCACCTAATCTTGTCCCCTACATGAAATGCAACAAATCTTTATCGGCATGACTTTAAATGAACGACGTTCTGTCTTTCACTGCTGAGGTTTTTATGCCTGCTTTTCACGCTTTCTATTGACTTTAAACCAAATTCACGTTGGCTCATTCATACATTTTTCTTTCGCACTTATCTATATTTCGATGCAGCTTTTTATGGTGTTGTAAATTCCGCATAAACTCGTGTAAAAGTCTGTTCCATGGAAGACTCTGGCTATTTATTTTCACATCAAAGTCTGTTATATAGCTGTAAACCCTTTTAACTGACATTTCCTTAATTGCCCAGTATTGTATAATTCTTTTGATTTGAATTTTGTTAAGTAAGTAAATAATTTCATAGTTTCAAATATTGGTATATGAGGTAGATATTTATTCAGTAAATCAGTGCATTGTATGTAATAAGCAAAAAAGTAATAATGATATTTATTAGAGCGAATTAGAGTAATATTTTCAAATTGTTGGTTTTCTCAAACCCGAGGATAATTTTGATTCAGATAAACTTTCATGCTTCATAAACATCCATGGAAGGTCGAACCCTTACGTTTATTCACACATTTTTGGAAATTTCTTGAGAACGTTTTCAATAACAACAAAACGATTTTTTTTTTTGGGGGGGGGTTATGACAGATATTTTACGATTATAAATCTGGTCAGCCCAGCAGAAGTCATTGAAAAGTTGGATAGATTCAAAATTTCAAAGTTAACTGCTTTCAGAAGAGTATCTACTTCTCTTGAATATGATTTTAAATCACTGAGAGTTTTCTTTTTCCATAATCCGATGAAACAGGTGAGCAGATTTTTATTGGAAATGTTTGCGAATTTAATGAGAACAAGATACTATTTTTAACAGACTGATTCTCCTACTATATTCAACATGATCCCGAAATTTTCGGGAAATAACTCTGATTATATTTACAAAGCTTGCTAACTGCTTAAAGGTGTCAAATTATCCAGAGGAAACGAGATAAACATTCTGTGACCGACACAAAACACGGCGGTTTTAGAAAAAAGAACTTTAACCAAAATTTCGAACGTGGTTGAAAGGATTAAACATTTTAATAAAATAATAAAAAATACCTTGGTATTTCCTCTTAATAATAATATGAACATTAACATGAAGCCCAACGTTTTACATATATAATTCTATTTTGATGCCGGTTTTATAAAGGAAGTGATCTCGAAAATTAAACATATATTAATATTTCAGTGATGTCTTTTCTCGACCAAATTTCAATTGTCAAATGTTACTGATTTGCTTTTAATGAAATCAGTAAAACAAAATGCCTGAATAGTTCCATGGAGATCTCGTAAAAGGAATAAAATCTAACTGATTAGTTGTTTAAGTGATGTTTAAGTAATTAGTTAAGCGAATATCTTATTTACTAGATCCTATCGATAACAATGAAAGTGTACATCTGGTTACCTAAATAATTGTCAGGATGACTTTATCCACATGCAAAATAATTTAAACCACATGAATTTGTAAAAATTCACGTTTGCTTGTGATATATTTTTTTCACTTTATTGCCGGACGGATGCGTAAATAAATGAGATATTGGTTGTTAACTACAGAGAAAATAAAAATAAAAGGAAGCTCTTCAAGTAGAAAGATCAGCACTTACAGACTTCTTGATTGCTGTATACAAATAGACACAGGCGTATTACATATATATGTTTTTTTTCTTTTCCGCTAATACATATTTTTATATGGGAGAATATGTTATATAAATTTCTATGTATCAGAATAATTCTATGTGACAACCAAGCAGGGTCAATATCTGACCTTTAGACAGTGAGGCATTCTGTAATAATATTCAATTTAGAAAAGAGCCAAGTGCAAGGAGGTTTCATTTCACACAGAGAAATGCGTGCTGTTTTTGTTGAATTATAACTGGTTGAGAGTAGGTCGCATCGGGAGCTTTCGAATGGATGCAATGTAATTTTGTTGAACTTTAAATACATCCGTAGACCGGAATCTTGACAGCCACATCGCACAGACGTTCTCTAGGAACGGCACACATTGCTAAGAGTAGCAGCGGTAGCCTGCATGGCATCCGTATTACAAATTTGTCAACTGTGGTCGCAGAATTATATGCACAGACCATAAAGAATCGTTGACTTTCATCCCGACTAGGAGAACACGTTTCACTTTTCATTCTTTCACTTATGCAACAACATTATTGTTTATGTTTTCACTGGTGTCGTAAAAGGGACACTTGAAAGACCGAATGGCCCATGTAAGCTATGGTCGTTTACATGGTCAACGTAGACATAGGACAGGCATCTAAAGTGTATACATCCAAGATACAAAGGCTCAATTCTTTGTATGGTAGTGTGGTGTGCTATAGTTTAAAAATCTCGCTTACATTTAGTCTTTGTAGAGTTTGTTGAGAGAAAATTTAACAGCGCCATGGATGCCCAAAACATTGTTCATTCCGTTTTGTTATCATTCCTTGAAACAGGAGGCGATGGGCCAGGATAATACCTGTTTACATAATATCCGTGTCATTCAACATTATCTGAAAGTTGCTTGACAGTTCCTCACTAGTGCTATATCCAACCAGATCCTCAGTATGTGACATAATAGGACAACACCTGACTTATTCAGTTAACCCACCTACAATGCTCACTGTATTACATAAACAGGTGCAAATAGCATGGAAATGTGTCTCTCATCATGATATTAGCCATCTATATGATGTATGCAAGAGTATAATTCTGCTAACG